ATCGAGATTCGTGTTCAGGCTGGTCATGAATTGGAACACACGATCCTTTTCCACAATTTTTAAGAAGGAAAGATCAGTAGGAGACTCAACTGTATTAGAGATTGCATTCCATCTATAAGACAACCAAGTCATTGTAGTACTAGGTCACCATTCTCGATCCCTGTTTCTCCTCGCAAATGTTATAGAAACATCATAGAATTGGCCAGAATCACCTGCGTCTCAGTAGGTACATGAACGACAGTTCAGAGGGCACTTACAAATGGAAGAGACATGTAACAACGACAATTTGAGGTTTTCTTGGAATTAATCAAACATAATTTGACCATGGAATTGTTCACTTCCCTTGTTGGGAGGTTCACAGATCATACTTATGAGATGACCGAATTTTCCTCGTCCTTTGGCGAATAATGACACATCTTGAAACTATTGGAAGAAATTTGAGCAGTTCAGTTTGTTGGTTGTAATTAAGAAATTTATGTGATTTTCATGTCCTCCAATTTGTAGATAGAGTAAGATATAGGTATCATTCCTCTGGTGGACTTAAGGACACTGTCGAAAGATTGTTTGGTGGTGCTGGTGTCCGTCATGATTCAGACTGAGCCAAAGGTGAGCTTTGGAGGCCGAGACATGGATGGAGGCGATCCCTCGCGCAACTGTCGGCAAAAAATGGCCTACAGGTGAGGATACCGCCGACATAGGGGAGATCTAACAGTTCTAGAAGGAAGACCAACACGCCGGAGGAAGGCTAACGGGAAAGGTGTGCAGTAAGGACTCACAGGAGAAATCTACAGGTAACTCACGATTGTAAGATTTTCACTGGAGAAGCTCGCAAATCTGGAAGGAAAACCATAAAAGGAAAAATGCTGCAGGAAAACTTATGGTAGAATGGTTCAGCGGCTGACAACCTGAAGGGAGGGGAGATCCGGTGGGGAGTTCTTGCTGCTGGAACCTGCAAGTGAAGGCCTGCAGAAAAAGTTTCTGCGGCTAGGGCGAGATCCCGGCTGCTAGGGTACGATTCCGTGGCTCTAATATTATGTTGATTTTGGGAATTGAGCGGGATAATCTTATTGATATGAAAGGATAGGTATAAGTATAGATTGCTAGACTCATAATAAAAGAAATATATAAAATAGGAAATACATAACATGACTCTTAACATAGGAAATATATAAAATAAGAAAGACAAACAAATAGGAAATACATAAAACATGAAATTTTGGAAAAAGAAATAAATCAATTCTAATAACTTGTAACAGTTATCAATTAGGATTTGAACGCTTGTATTACCTATTGCCATTGGAAAGTTTTTTAGCATGATTGATTATTATTATTTTGTCAATTCTCTGTTTTCTTTGCATATAAACATGGCAAACATCATAGTAATTGCATTAGAAAACCTTGATTATGAGTCTTTTTGCATTAAATTAGTATTAGAGCTGCAGGTTGCCACAATGTCAAAGTTTAACCATTTTTACTAACTATGATAACTTAATAGATCATGATGGAGATCAAAGTTTAACCATTTTTCAAAATCAGTTGATTGAATTTATAAAGGCTGGTAGGAATTACTTCTGATTTTTTATTACATTTTTTCATTAATGTGTAAAAGCTTATTCGTTTAATGAGTTTTCTATATGTTTTTAATTTTTATTATTATTATTTTTTTAAATCAAGGTGTTCTTAAAAACGCTCAAAAGCAATTTTTAGATTTCTTCAATATTAAAAAAAAAAACCTTTATTTTAGTTTAACTTATCATACAGATTTTATTACAAATCAAAATATTAATAAATAAAATAAAAGTGATCCCAAATGACACCTAAAATTTTTTTTTTATTTTTTTTTGCGATACCACCATTTTGTGTAAAACAAGAATTGGTGATTTGGCCAATCCAGTTCCCACACATGAATCTGAAATGAATTCCAATCGCAATGATGAACCAGTTCGCTTGGATTTTACTTTTGTTGGAGATGGGTAAATCATGGTGATTGAAAATTTGAAGTCTTTAATAATTCATGGTTGTCAAAATTTTGAAATAGATGATAACAACTAGAAAGGCTGAAGTGAAAGTAAAAAATTGGGAAATTTACATCATACTTCATAATTCTTTTGTATTTACAATATCGAACTCCTAAAGCTTGATATTTTATTTATAACACTTTCGTTTTAAAACTTATGCATGAAAATGTGTATTTTCACTTTTAAAAAGTTAGTATTAATGGTATTTTTGATGTAATGTCAAAGAATTGAGTGTCATGTATGTAAATATGAAGGTCTAGGTGTTAGATATGTAGGTATATAATAATTATGTGGTACGTAAGTAAATGCCTCTAAAAAATTTCTTCTAGTATAAACTATGTATGGTGAACCTCAAGTAAGGTTTGGAAAGTAAAAGAAATTGGTCAAACTAAAATTTAATGGGTGAGTTTGAAGAGGCAGGGAGAAAGGAACTTTCAACAACTTTAGATGAAATGAAAAAAACTTTTATAAAGAAATATTTGCCTTTATCTTCTTGCTAAAGTTTGCTTGAACTTAATTCTCTAAAGAAGTCACTAAAATTGACTGAGTACATGGAAATATTTGAAAAAATAGTATTATTGAAAATCCTAATGTCATGTTTTAGGTTTAGGCACTTTACTATGTTCTATCAGGGGCAGCTTATGTGGTGCGGTGGCGTATTGAAAACGCACCTGACCTGTTTGGGTAAATTATGTTTTAGCAGCTCATGCGTTTTCAAAATGCTGAAGACAGTGTTTTCACACCACAACTGTCTAGGTGCGGTGACAACTCTCTGGCAGCAGTCTGGCTTTTCCAAAAAAATAAAAAATTTGTAATAGTCATTGCACCTAGTTTATAAACAGATTATTTTTAATCAGCTTATCAGCAGATTATTGAATAAGCTGCAGCTGCCCCAAACAGACCCTCAATTGGACATGCTTATTAACATGTCTTATATATTAATCGAATAAATTTTAAAATTTCATGCTTTCAAGTTGAATTTGTTGCACTCAATACATCAAGTTTTTTGCTAGGATATTGTAAAGTGTTATCAAACTAGTAATTATACTAGTTCTTCCCTAGCAGAAATCTGGATATAAATGTTGGGGATGAAGATAGAGAAATTAATGATTCGGGATTTGTTGGTTAATTTGTTGAAGAGATTAGTAATTCTTAGGTTGTTTTAATGGACAATTTTTTGAATAGCATGCCTTAATTTATACCTGTTCATACAATTGAACTTGTTTGGAAGAAAACTACAATTTCTTAGTCTATTACAAGTAGGAGAGAAGCTTGACAGACTATTGATTGATAGTGAGAGTTGTATGAATGGTGTTTGAGTTTGCCTTTAATTGCGCATGAGTTTAAAACATGAACTACATTGACAATTATGATGGACCAATATGTATACATGGAGGACATGGACATGACATAGAGACATACATCTGCACATATATTTCTAAAATTTATCGGCAACTATTTATTTGACATGATGTTTAACAACTAAGCATGCTAACTAAATAAAAACAGTTTGGTTCATTTTTGGTTTTATCCAGACAATGAAACCTCTGCATATCATTTAAGGACTTTAATAGTTCTTGGATCATCATAATTTCATTTACGTCATGTATGAATAGTTCATTAGAACATGCTGAATTAACAAGTAGATGAATTATTTAGGAAAGAATTTATTAGATAAGACATGAGTCCTTATGCTGTATCTATTGGAACCTACACCTAAGAAGTTTACTTGTTTGAGTTTGTTTAGACAGTAGGATTATCTGTAAAATCATTGATGAGTATTTTTTTTCCTTTGGATACGATGAATGTTGTAATGCTATTTTTAAAATTGATTTGAAGAGGTATACCATTAAGCTAGAATGAGAGAAGATGGTGCCTTAAAATATGCTTTTAAACTTGAAGATAGATATTAGGAGTAATGTTTTTTTGTGACTCCATCTGTTATCTTTTAAGATTTTGCTGTCTGGAAATGGCTTTTTACTGTTAAGATTAAGGTGTGATTAATTTGGCTTAATTTTTTTAATATACATGACATTTGGATTTTTCATGGTTTGGCTCTTTTTTATTGACGTTTTGTTAAAGTGCTTAGTGCTGCAATGGCTTCAATTACAAATTGTAATAACTTGAATTAATAAAAAATAAAAATAAGTAAATAAATAATAATAATAATGTCATTAAGAATTTTGAATCGGTTGGAGTAACTGTCAGATGATTTTGTCTTTTGATGTCGGAGGGATTGAACGGGATGCATTTCTTCGTATCAGCTGAGAGAGAGAGAGAGTGAGAGTGAGAAATATAGTAGAAGAGGAAGGAAGGGTCGCATGTTACCCTAGCAGAGACGACCAGAGAGATCGAACACTTATCTAGGGTTAGAAGCGTTGCCATTCTGTGCGGATTCTTGCGAGAGAAAAAAGTCGAAGGAGAAGAACTACGTTGCGTTCTTTCTGTGCAAGAGAAGAGGAAGAATCGAGGGCTCCTAGTGCGGGTGCATGTGCGAGTAGTCAACGATGTCGCTTGTTGTGGTTTCACCTCAGATTGTTGTGGTCGGCGTTGCATTGTGACGACATGTGTGGAGGAGAATCAATCGACGTTGAAGAAGGGGAAGGAGAAGGCAAGGACTCGGCCTTGCGTGTGAAGTGGACAGCCAGCCCGATGAACCCTAGTCGAGTGACTCTGGTGTGAAGATATGGGTGGTATAAATGTAAAAAAGTAAAGTTAAAGTGTAAGATATGTAAATACATAGGAATTGGGTGGTATTCCCCATATTTTTATTATCATTATTATTATTATTATTAATGAGAATTTTGAATGTTAAATCCTAAAATTTATATAAGCCGATATGAGAAATTTGAATGTTAAATCCTAAAATTTATATAAGCCGATTTCAAACATAGGATTTGGCAATAATTCCCATGATTCTTACCAACTAAACTATGACACCCACATGCTAATTAATTTTGCTTCATCATTGTAATTTCACAGGTATCGCGCCATTACAAGTGCTTATTATCGCGGAGCTGTGGGTGCATTACTTGTGTTTGATGTCACCCGTCGTGCAACATTTGAGAACATTGTACGTTGGCTGAGGGAATTAAGGGAGCATACAGATCCAAACATCGTCGTTATGCTCGTCGGGAACAAGTCTGACCTCCGTCATCTCGTCGCAGTATCAACCGATGATGGCAAAGCATTGGCGGAGAGGGAGTCGCTGTTCTTCATGGAGACATCTGCTCTCGAGTCCACCAATGTGGAGAATGCGTTTTCTGAGGTTTTGACACAAATCTATCGAATTGTGAGCAGAAGACCAGTCGAAGCTGGGGAAGATGCAGCATCTGCTGTTCCAAGCAAAGGTGAGAGAATTGATATTAATGATGATTCTTCTAGAAAGAGATTTGGATGTTGTTCTAATTAGGTTGGAGCTGAACAGACGGAAATTTGCAGGTAACCTGTTAAGTATTCTAATCACGAAAGCTATAGATGTTCTAGTTTCATTGCATTATTTGTTTCATCTGGCAAGAAATTATAATAGATGCAGATTTTATTTTGATAGACCAATTTGAAAGGCCTGCTGCTGTGTTGGAAATTTGGCCTATGGAGTTTATTATTGTATGCAAATTTCTGTTTCGAGCCAGATGAGTATGAAATTTATTTCACTTTATTGTTTTTTGGCTTAATCTGCTTCACTTTTAGACTAAAAGGTTTGGCCTGAACATTCTTTCGGATTCAGCTGAAAATTTTCTTCAAAATGTTTTTTGGGTATTAGTTTTGGCTATGATTGTCCATTAATTCAATCTATTGTGTTGTCTTGAGTTAGTGGGTTTGATCTTTGCCATTGAAGATTGACCTGCCATTCATTTTCTTGATAATAACTTCTATATATTCTGTTAGCAGTTGTGTTATAGAAAGTTATTTGATTAATTCATGTTTGAATATTGAGAATGATATTATTATTTTTAATTTATTTATTTTTCTGAATAGTTTCGATCAGGCTTGTGCCCTAGAGCCTTGGTTACTGTCTCCTTTAACCTTACAGGTTATCTCATCTAAATCTAGATTTAACTTGGGTTAAGAAAACACTGGGAAACAGCCCAATCCAAGTTCAGGCAGTAGATTTTACCTAGCCTTAGACCCTGGTTAACTAGTGAACCCAATGATCACCTCATGTTAACTTGGTCAACAAGTACCCTCTCTTGATTATATATGTTGTCTGCTCAGTCACGTGGGTCAAATTTAATGAAGTTGAGTTAAAAACTCAATTCAAGTTTAGCTTTAGTGAAATACTCAAACTTTGGGCCCACGTAACATGGGGTTAGTGGATCCCTTAATTTTAGGTCAACATTTAGCGTAAAGATTTTGACTGTTGCTGAAATTGACATAAATGACACTAAGGCTATATTTTTGGACTACACCTTTCTTGGTTTATTGCCTAATCCAACCTAAATAGCGCCTAACCTACATAGGCATAGAAGAGGATATTAATAGAGCTATTGTGAGCCTAGATATAGAGATTCAATTATTTTGAATTATGAATGATAAATAAGAATTGAGATGGAAGCAGAATAAGTTGAACGAAATAGGTCCTTTCCCAATTCATCAATTTCTCCGACCACCAACTGATTTCCATGCACATGTTGTCATTGAGATAATAAAAAAGTTTTTATCTTGGCTGAAGTGATGTTGATATTTTCTTAAAGACGATCGTAGTCCTTCATGATGCGTCTATAACCATGTTGAAAGCCAAATTATTAGATCTTATTTCTTAAGTTGGGCTTAGGAATGCTAAGAAAATTAATATGATGTATATTGCAAACAATATTTTAGCTTGAGAGGTAATAGATGGTTTGCATCCACCTTTTTTCTATTGATTTTTTTTTATATATAATTGTTGTAAGGAAGATCTTATTATTTAGCTTGCCCATTCTTTCTACATTGTAAATATTAGGCTCTAAGATGAGATTTGATGAACTTTGTTAGAAATTCTCTTAAAATATTCCATAAATAGTTTTCTTTCATTTGCGTGAATGCTAGAAAGTTGGGAAGATTCCTTGATGATTTTTCTAATAATAATAAAATGGTCATTAAAAAGCCTATCCAACTTAATAAACTATTGTGAGTTTTATGAAAAGCTTAGAAAGCTTGACCTTTGAAGAAGGCAAAAAGGATCAAGTGGAAAATCACATTAAAGATACATTATATGTGTGATAGACCTATAGTATTTAATATGCTCTGGGGGGTAAATTGAGTCATTTATCTAACTTAAATTCGAGTAGCTTCTGTTGTTAAGGGATGATATTGGTGAGAATTAATGTCAATCATGAATCTCTAGAGGGAAGTCTAAGGAGGGTGGTGAGTGATCATTGCGTTTAAGGCCAAGAAGTAGTTTCGACTTTCAAAATAACTTGTTTTTAATAGAATAAGGTTGCTTGAATGAATCAAACCATCAGAAGGTGGAGGAAATGATACTATGTTATATAAGTACAAAAGATAGGTTTTAGAGTTTCCTTATCATGTAAAAAGTTGATATCCTTTCAAAACTTCCGAATTAAGAATTACCATAATGGAGCAGTTTTGGGATAAGTAGTCTCTTTAAAGTTATACAAAAAAGTAACGAAAACATGAGTTTCAACTTGGTATGCAACAAATTGTGTTTACATGATATGATGTGTTATGATTAACGGTCTATTTGGGGCAGCTGCAGTTTATTAAAAAATAGATTTGAAGCTGCTGAAAAATGATCTTATGTTCAAAAATTGTGGTGGTTATTACTAATCTTTTTTTTTTTGTTTTGAAAAAGTCAGATCACAAGTAAAAAACTGTCACCGCACCTAGTCAGGACATGTGGGAAAATTACCCAAACTGACAAAATTACGGTGTGGTGCTGCACCGCCACCGCACCATCACCCCAAATGGACCCTAATATTACAGCATAAAGTACTAAGTATAATGTCTTATTATAGGATGAACTAAGCAAAAGTTATTGGGTATGTGATGTCTCGAATCCTAAGAGGGTGACTCAGAATTAATTAATATGGTTGAGCTCCAATGTGACTTATTATGGGCATCTTGAATAGGCTTTCATTTAGGAGAAAAAAATGGTTTAAGAAGGAACCAAATTTTTTATGAAAATTATAGAAAAAAAAATATTGTATTGTGCAATTAAAAGTTTAAAAATATAATAATGAATACTTTTTTAGTTTAGTAGACATCCCTTTAGAGGTTCGTAGTTAAGCGTGTTTATAGTGAAGCTCTCCTTAAGTGGCCTTCTAAGAAGTTACATAACAAAGAAAAAAATTGTGAGATTTAGTTTGGTATGGGGCCAACACGGCCAAAATGGACATTATCTTACCTATTTTGTATGGGAAGTTGTAATTAATGACTCCTAAATTTGATAAATAAATTTTACTTTGTGGGGAACTTTTTTTAGATTATGCACAATATTTCATCCTAAAGGATGTTACAAGAAAGTCACTAATATACAATAAAGATACATTTATTGTTATTATTAGATAATTGATTTCATGTACCATGTGTGACAATGTTTGAAGATAATAAAGGTGAAAATTCAACTTGATGATGAGTGATCACTACATGAACATTATCAACCCCTTGATATACAATATGTTTGGAAGGAGGAAAGACCTAATGAGGTTTTAACATGATTGTCTTAGATAATTGCTATAAGGCTCCTCATACAATAAATGTATTCCTAAACATATTGGACAAAGTGCCCTCAATAATAATGTTTTTGCTAGTAGGAGGCTGAGAATAATGCTAGCTATGGCATTCTTAGTTCATAGAACTGTTCCCTTTTTTTCAAGAATTAGAGTGATATTCCCTATGCTATTGGTGTTTTGCCTATTCATTACTATGACAATGTCACGATGTTCTAGTTGTCGAATAATTATTGATCTCTAGTCAATCAATTATATTAGGATTCTTGTTACGTGGTGCCAAATTCATACTGGAGTTCATATTGGTAAAGAAAGCGACTTTTATCGTCTTTGCTTTGAATGATAGTTCATAGAGGGGCAGAACCATCATTATTTTTCTGGGTGGGCAAAATCACCAAATATTTGTTTTTAGTATTGGATAAAAAATATATCAGGGGATTATATAATGAAAATTGTTTTTATAGGGAAATCTCAAGCTTTAGGAGGGTATAATCATAATAAAGTTTGACTATTAACTTTAATACCACTGAGAAGAAAAAATAATAATAATAAGAACACTCATAATATTAAATTTAATACCACTAATAAAACATGTGACAAAAGAACTATCATATAATTAGATTATATGGTGGCAAATATACTTGCTATCCAAATAAAAAATAATAATAATTTTTACTATATTTAAAATAAATGACCTAATATGACAAAAATGAGTATTAGTAATATCTTATCTCCAATCCCCATAATTAAATTAATTATACAAATACCATATAATTGAATTAAAAAATTGCCTTATCTGACCAAACAAGATACTAACTTTGTTTAAGATGGCAACCAACCAGTAGAACTATTCACATGCTCCCTTCCCTTCTTTAACTTGATAAAACACATATTTAATGCTTAAAATCTTCTAAATCTTCCTACGCTGAGGCCGGCCGCAGGCCGCGGCCAGCCTTCAATATCTTCTTAGCTGAGCTCAGGTGGGCCCGGTGTCACATTTTTTATTTTCATTTACATACTTTTCACTCCATTTCTATGTATTTAACTGTTTATATATCTAACAATAAACTTTTACTTTTTTTTTTTTACATTTATGACATCCAAATCTTTCATGTCACATGAAAAATGCAACCATTTTCATTTTTAAAAAGTGAAATGCATTTTAATGGAAGAGACAAAAAGTCCCACATCGGCTAGGTATAGGGTCGAAAAACAGTATTTAAGTCCTGGGCTGTCCACCACCCCGAAGAGCTCTTTTGAGAGGTGACATTAAGGTGACTTGCTCGTAGAAATTGTATGAGTTGAATTCTAATACCACTCCTTTTTTAGGTATGTAGATATTTTAACACTTTAACTAATTTTTACCTTTATACCATTCAAATCTTTTATATCACTTCAAAAATATTATGAGTTTAACATTTGAAAAGTGAAATAGTCCTCATGCATGGGTAAGACTGGTAAGGTGGCATGTTTGTAAAAATTGAACTATGGGGTTGGATGTGTAAATACTAAATACATAAGAATTGAATGGTATTTATGTAAATTTCTTTTTTTTATTATTTTTTTATTGAATATTTTGGCCAATTAATGATATTCATATGTTGCCTATATTTCATTGTCAGCAACTCAGCAAAGCAATAATTAGCTGGAAGGATCAGAATATTTATCTTATCTTCTTACATTTGCAATTAGTTCTTCTCATTTATTGAATTTTGAGTTTATTAAATTGATTAGCATTAAATTATGATTATGTTTGTTGAGAAATCAACATAAATTGTGGTAATAAAGATTTGAGGGATAATTAATTCATCTCAAAACTGTCTTTTATGAGTTTCCTTATTTATTTATTATTTCAACTAATATATAATTTATGAGATATGATAAAATATAATATATGAGTTTCATCCTATAAATTTTAAAATGAATATTTTATTATGATAAAAAAAAATGCATGCACTCATCTATCTATCTCGAAGAGCTCTTTTGAGAGGTGACTAGTGGTATCAGAATAGATTACT